GGGGCCACTCGCCGCCGCCTCCCGGCCCCGGCCCCGTGCTGGGCTGGGGGCACGGCCCCTTTCCGCGCCTGGGCATCTTCCAGGCGTGTCTGCTCCCTGACCCCATGGCCGTCCCACACCCTGAGGGCAGTGGGGACCCGGGGGGCCCCGACAGTGGTGGCCCCAAAGCCCTGTTGATGCCACGAGGGACCCCTGCGGGGGGGACCCAAGTGCCGAGGACCTTCCCCCCGTGTGTGCTGCATGTGGTGTGCTGGTGCGAGCCCCTCCACCCCCCTCCCCTCTATTGAGTTGACAATTTTTTGTTCTGTTTTTAGACTCCATCCTCCATCTTTTCTTTTTGTTTTGGCTCTGGATTCACCCCCTGGGGCTTCGATCCCCCTCCCCACCGCTTCTCTTTTCAGTTGTCCACCACCATGGCCCTTGCGCCTGCGTCTCCCCTTCCTGCAGGGAAGGGGTGTAGCCTGCCTGCAGGTAAGCATGTCCAGCGGGAACGACCCAGCCACCCGTGTGCCTCCCCTCCGTCCGTGTGCCTGTGTGCAGGGATTGCCCCGCCAGGGAGGTTTCTTTCCCCTCTTCCCCCCCCAAAATACTCCCCTCCCTGCGAGGGAGGTGGCACCGCGGGCGGTCCCTGCACACACCCCATCCCTGCTGTGCTCTGCCTTTGCCTCACGCTGGCTCGGAAGGCGATAGAAGCTAAATCCCTGTGGTTCAAAGGCGGGTGAGTACGCAGGGAAGCTGGTGCTTTCTGCCCCACTGGGGTCTCGCGGGCTGCTCTCCCCTCCTCGTTAGGATGTAATTAATGAGCTTGGCGGGGGGTGATGGTGTGGGGAAGTGTTGTGGAGCTGTGGGCATGCGGGCGACCAGAGGAACACTGGGTGCTCGATGCTTTTGGAGGAGCCAGCAGAGACGCCAGCGCGCCCCGTCCCTGGGAGCGGGCTAGGATGGGACCCAGCTGGGGGGGCAGATCCCGCTTCGCTGCTGCCTGGGGGGGCTCAGGCGGTGCCATGGGGAGCCCGGAGCCTCTCACCCAAACGGGCTGTGGCTCCCGCCCTCATCTCGCCCTCATGGGCAGCCCTGACGCTGACCCCAGCAGCTTTCCCTGGGATCGGATCGCGCTGGGGTTTTCTCGTGGACGGGGCTGGAGGCTGCAAAGCGGCAATTCCACCCCGGCCGCGCTGCCTCGGTTTCTCTCGCAGCAGCACGGGTCGGTGCTCACCATCCCTGTCCCCGAGGGGAGCCCCAGCTCTCCCGCTCCGCGCCGCAAAGCCAAAGCTGACTGAGCCAAAAGGGCAGGTTCTGGCCTGCGTTTCACTGTCACGCCACTCACGCGTAACATCTTCACGTGGGGAAAATCACAGTTTTCTGCCAGAACCCCGTTCCCCTCCCAGGTTTTAGTCCGGTGATCCCTGCCCCAGCCAGGGCGGTGGTGGGAACGGGGGCCCTGCGGGTGGGTCCTGGGCTACCCGGGGGTTGCTGTGCAGTCCCGTCAGCCGAGTCCAGAGTGAACATGGGGCAACAGCCCGGGGGCCCCTTCCTGCCTCAGTTTCCCCCTCCCTGCTGACTCTCATCTCTCTTGCAGGCCTGGTGGCGGGCTGATCATTATAGACAGCATGCCGGACATACGCAAGCGAAAGCCCATCCCCCTAGTTAGTGATTTGGTGAGGTTCCTCCTAACGCCTTGTGCCACACAGCTGCCGGAGCATGCCCGACATTAAGCCTGGACGCAAATCTCTCCCTCTAGTCAGCGATCTGGTGAGCGCGGTCTGAGGGGTTAAAGAGAGAGCACCCTTGGGTGCTGCTGGGCAGCCCTGCCCAGCCTCTTCCAGCCCTGCTGGCAGGGGGGAGGGGGGTGTCCAGGCTGTTTTGGGGGCCTCCTGGCCCTTGCAGTGAGGAGCTGTGAGGATGGCACAGCTGGGCGCTGCCCACCCGAGGGTGCTTCTCTTTAACGGAGCTCCAGGGCCATGTCCCGACACCAAGCATCAGCCCAAGGCTTCCCAGGGCTGTGTCTGGTTTCCCATTTTCTTACTGGTGCTGCACCCCTGGTCCCTTCCCATCCCACCCGCCATAGGCTCCCCACAGCTCGGACCGCGCTGGTGCTGGGCCCGTGCGCCGGAGGAGGGGTAGCGCTTGCTTTTTGGAGCTGCACAGACTCGTGCTCCTGTCCCCACCGTTGTCACACTGCACCGCTACAGCCCAGTCCCTGTGCCGGGGTCCCATCCAGCCCCTGGGCTGTAACACACGGGCTCACTCTGCTGTCACCCTCCTAGTGACAAGAGACGGCGATTTTGGAAACCAGACACCCCCTGCACCCAGAATTAGGTGCCCTTCGCCTCCTTCCCCCTCTCTTCACACCTCGCTGCCTCCACTTTGTGCCCTGCCCAGGGTGCCTCCGTCCCATCCCCAACCCACCTGCCCCCTC